CACCTCGCTCAGCCAGTGAGCGGCCGGTCTGTATGTGGGATCCGAACCCTCGGCGGGAGCGCCGCCGCGCTCTCAAGTGGCGCACTGTAGCAGTGTGCCACCGGGCCGGCCCTACAATGAATTTTTAAAAATTATCTAAGTATGCTATTTTTATGTAGTTGAAATAGTAAAAAAAACACTGAAACTGTCCAATAGAAAAGGAAAAATATGCAGATGTCAATCGTCATGTGATAAATGAATGAATAAAATAAGGGAGCTGGCAGGCTGACGGAAACAGTGTGGCATGAACCAAGGGCTTGGTGCACCTAAGATCCAAAAAAAGAATGAACAGGCAAATGTATGCACTAATGAAGCTATTATCATGGGGCCTGCAAGAATGGTGTATGGAGCCAACTTCCACCCACAAAGAATAGGCACTGCAACATGTCTATGTCATATAAAAGGATTACCTATTATATGTGAATTCTACATCTAGAGGTTCAAAGTTATACGTTTGTTCAAATTCTGGATTAAGTTTAAGAGTTACATCTTCTTCATGGACCTAAAAAAGAAACAAACGATTTAACTCCCATACATTATACTTGATTTGTTGGAACAATCTTATATTTATATATAGCAACACACCATAAAAAGTCATTCTACAGATCTAAGCTAAAATGTGGTATCTTAAGTATCCACAAAATTAATTGAAAAGGATTAAATCAGTATGCTATTAAATTATACAAAGAGAAGGAACATGTCAACATATCCACTCATATCAACGATACTTACTGAACTCACTGGGTCATGGTCTCCACCTGGGCTCTGAGAATTCAAAGTGCACAAGACAGACCACTCCACAACAGAGGTGAACAAAACCACAAGTGCAGCACAGTGTCACCTGCTGTCATCAAGCCTTGACAGAAAGGTCATTACAGGACTTCCCTTTCTAGCAGCATAGGGAACTAGATGTTCTGGAAGCCCTCCAGCTAAACTTAGATACTGCATAAATGAGTTCAGCAAATTCTTTCTTGGACAAGCAGGAAAGAAAGAAAACTTATGAGAAAATATGGAAAGAAAAATAAGAAGGAAAACCCTGAGCTAAAAACGGAGCTCAAACTCCTTTTTAGGTGAATAAGGAGCCCCCAGGCAGGGTGGGTTTCCTGAGGGCCAGGCTGATACCAGCGAAGGGCCAGGAAGCTGGGACATAGGTGACTCTAGTCTGGAAACTGACCCTGTGACAGGAGGTGAATGGAGAGTCGAATGGTGGGATTCATCCTGGTCAGTACTGCCCACACCCCCTTCAAAAGGAAAGCACAGTCAACACAGGGCCCTGGCTGCTCCAGAGATTAAGAGAAGTGACAATGAATCCATCATCAAAGACCGCTAAACACACAAGGAAACAAATCCCCAGGAGTGAGGGTTGGCACAACCACCAATAGTCTTAGGCCCCAAGGATATCGTGTTCTATCATGACTATTTTCAGGAATCTGAAAAACCATGTGTGAAATAAAAAAATGGAAAGACAAAAGTAAGCAAGCCCTACACAATGTTAAAAGTGTTAGGGCAGCTTTAAAGGCATAAATAGAGCACTCAGGAATGAAGACTAAATGGGAAGAGCAGCAGGTGTGACAGTGCTTGTCCCATGCAGGTGCTCCCTGGGCAGACAGGACAACTCTCGTGGGTGTGGCTTGGCTGCAGGGTTCAGTGCTGGGCTTGGGCTCAGCCACAGGAGCCTTCTCTCCCCAAAGCTCCCAGAACTGCTGTTCCTATTGAGTGCACGACTTGCCAGTGGCATAGAGGGACCCCCACTCTGGACGGCACCCGTTCGCTGTGCTGGTCCTGGAGGACAGCAGTTTGAGTTTGATAAATGCACTGCTCATTGTGAGGGTGTCTGCCCCACCCACCATGCTTCTACCAGCCGCACCAGCTGTGGGGCCTCCCACAGGCCTCTCTACCATCATGGTACCCACACCACTGCTCTGGACAAGAAATTTAATTACAGAGAATCAAGTAAAGCAATGGGCTTGAGACCTGAAGAATTTACTGACCTGACCATGAGTTCCACCACCGTGAAACAGCCAACTTTATGGGACAGTGCAACATCCCACTGAAGGATCACCACGGGTGCCTCAACACCTTCCAAAGTTGGGGTGCTAGGTGCTGGCTATCCCACAATCGGACTGTGTGGTTCTGGAACTTGGGGTGTGAGTGGGCAAGTGCCTCACTCGAGATCTCTGACCCTGCTTCTTTGGAGGCTTTGGTACCCAGGGCTCCCCCTTTTAGAACATAACTGGTCTACTGTATGGAAGCTAAGATGGTCACTTGGCCATGTGGGCTCCTTGTGCCACGTGGGCTCCTTGTGCCACTTGGTTGACAGCAAAAGTGGGTTATGGAGCTGGTGAGGCTGACAGCTCCTTCAATTCAGGCTAAAGTGCTGCAGCTCTGCTGCGGGATGGAGGGTGCCCCTACATGACTGATGGGAAACACTGGTGCAGGCAGAAAGGGGCGATCTCTGAGGAAGGGGGGGTGGCTCCTTCCCCAGCTAACCAAGGTGCTGCTAAAGCTGTGAACTCTGTGCTGGTCTCCCCACCAACTGGATCAACAGAGCCTGTGGCCTTTGCTCTTCTTTCCTTTCCTGTTGTGTGTTGCACACAATATCCCTTTTCCTCCCCTTTTCTCAAATGCCATGTACACCCGCAGCAGTAACTTCAATTTAGTCCATGGTCACAGTCTATCAGTGTGGCCCTGTGCAACGCCTGGGATGAGATGTCTCCTAGATGTCTGCCTATGGACACATAGGTGGCATAGTGACATGACTTTGGATGTGACCTTTGGGAGGGACAAAAATGTTTGCTGTACAGGGGTAAGTGTGTTGTATTAATCAGGAGCAAGTTATTTACAAGTTTAAGTATAAAAAGAAGAATGTATGCTGATATTCTCATGTAAAAAAGATGTATTTTTCCTGGCTCCCAGAATCTGAAACCCCTTTTGAGTCTGGAGACTGTAAAAAACAATCTGATTCATTTTCAGAAATGACTTATTTGGGTGTTTTAGCTGATTCAGGCGCAGCCCATTCCCGGAGGGTCTCTGAACAGACAGAGCTCTCTTGAGATGGTGATGAGTTACTAGACCCTATTGTTTTCTTCATTCCCTGGTGTTTCTCCTTTCACAGGGCTTTAGCGGGCCTTTTTCATGGGCTTGTCCTGAGCCCCCAGACAAAGGAATTCCTTGTAAGGGGGTAAATTTTAGGCGTGTTTCAGGAAAACTGTGCATCTCATAGTACTCAGCCAATGAGGAAGTGGGGGGAGGGACTTGTATACTAGGGTATAAATTGCTTGCTACAGCCCTTTTCCGTGCCTGTCCCGTTCAGACACCTGAACCTTGCAAGGCCATTAAAGTCTCGCTTCGCTGAAGCTTCGCTGTTCCTCATGTCTCCATATCCAGCCTTTGGCATTGGACAGGTGAGGGCATTTCTCACAGGCAAACAAGCCCCTTATGAATCTCTGTGACAGTACAAGATCTCAGTAAAGATCCCGAAAGTGCCTGTGTCCCTTGTGCTGTGGCTGGAGCTCATGACATGGTATGGCCAGTCAGGCATTCTGGGCTTTTGATCAGAATCTAGTTGCCCTCAGGCACAAGGACAGAGGACCCTTTATTTTGAGGGTGGCCATATCATTGGCATCTCACACTGAGCCAGCAGTGCCAGCTGTGGTACCTATTGTCTGAGGATGGTAGAAGCCATATCCTCGTGAGACCAGGTCTTGCACATTTTTGCTGTTGTTTGATTTGCAAACTCCCCCTGACCTCTGTTCTCCAAGCCCAGCTTGCCCACCTTGTGGCAATTTTGAGAGCTGTGCACTAACCTCAAAATAATGCCCCTTTTGCTTCTACCAGCCTGGGTGGGCTCCTTATGTAAAAATACTGATTGATGTAACTGTCTTGGCCGAGATGAGGACATCTAAACTCTTCAACAACGAAGGCACTGGCCTCTGTGTCCTTGCTTAAGTCCTTCACACCTTCTGATGTGACCCTCCATGCCCTTTATGGCTACCAAAACTCTTTTGTTTTTTACGGCTATCTCAGATGCCACCTGCTCCTCTTCTCAAGTAGATTAATGAACCTCTCCTGCATAAAAGAATCCATGTTCATCTCCTTCCCCTCCTAATGGAAACCATCTATCTACCTTCCCCTTGGATGCTCAGCTTCCTCACTGAGCTGAAAACGAACGGGCAAAGCTTGGTCCCTACGTCTCAGTCCACAAATGCTGGACTAGGTCCTTATGAGATATTTGAAACCCTGCCAAGATTTTCGTCTTCTGGGAAAATGCCACACTCTATGCCCTGAGCCACTGCTGAACCTGTATTAAGGTGTGGTAGGGAGCAAACACGTGGCAAAGGTCAAATGCTGCCTCTTGAGTCCTTATCAGACTCTTCCACTTCTCCTAACCCTTCTTCCCTTTGAGGGTGATAGAGTTGGGATGTGTTGTGCCCGCCAAAACTCATGTGGAAATCTGATCCCCAATGTGGCAGTGTTGGAAAGTGATTGAGTCATGGGGGTGGATCCCTCACAAATGGATTAATGCTCTCCTTGGCGGGGGGGATTAATGAGTGAGTTCTTGCTCTATTAGTTCCCACGAGAGTTGGTTGTTTAAAAGACCCTGGCACCTCCCCTCTTCCCCTCTCTCTGTCGCCTCTCTCCCCTCCCCCTGCCCCCACCCTTGCTTCCTCTATCCATGAGATCTGCTTGTACCCACTGGCTGGCTGCCTACTGTTTTCCACCATGAGTAGAAGTAGCCTGAGGACTGTGCCAGATGCGGCTGTCCCAGAATCGTGAGCCAAATAAACCTCTGTTCTATATAAATTACCCAGTCTCAGATATTCTATTATAGCAACACAAAAATGGACTGATACAGAGGATAAAGGCTCTGGCATACTCCCTAATTTTCCATGTTAGGGAAAGCGCGCTCATCCTCTAGGTGCACAGCTAAGGCGCTTCCCTTCTCACGAAACCCCAGCACAAGTCCCAGTGCTGTGCCAGGACAACAGTGAAAAACAGCCCGAGAGCCACAGAGTACCACACACAGGATGCCGGGGAGCACCAGGGGTCAGTTAGGCCAAAAAAAGCCGCCCCTTTCCACAAACATCAGAACTATAAACTCCTAAGGGTATTTTTCCTTCTGAGGCTTCCATTCCGCTAGCTCTTCCATAATACATTCAAAACGCCCAAATTTAACTAAATGCAAATATCATGACTTAAATAAAACTTAAAAGGTAAACGTGTTTCACATGATTGAAAATTATGGCATTTCTTTAGATTTTAAATTCTTTTCATGCATCAAAAATTATTTAAAGATTCACTCTATCTTCAAATTTTCCAAAATACTGCCAACGCCCAAAGGAGCACCTTCCCCCCAAAAGCCACGGGCAGGAAATTTACCTTTCCAACTGGTTGGATGGGCTAGCCCAACATTGAATCATTAAGAGTGTCCTCTCACCTCAATCACATAGCTGATGTATTCGATGACATGTCCACTGTACTCTTGAGTTTTTAAAATCAGTTTATCACCTAGTTAAGAAATACATTACCATGTATAAAACTAATACAAAGTCATACATTTCTGTTGCTGTACAATGAAATCAAACACTGATGAAGTGGAATAAAACAAAACATTATTGGGATCAACTGCTTAAAAATAATGTAAGTGTGACAAAGAAACGTGCCTGATGCATGCAAGCTAAGGGAAATTCTAACCCAGAGGAAAGAAAATAAGATAATGTGATGGTAGTGCTGCCAGTTAAAAACGCTCTTTCCCCCAAGTGTGGTATGTCTACTAGTTGACCTAGTAAAATGTGACAAGTAACAGACACACCTGCGTACAGAGAAGGTCGACCTTCAGCTAGCCCTGGGATCTCCAAAATCAGCAAGTTCCCGTTCCTCTTCAAGGTGATTCCACTCATATTATACTCTTTCAATTCTATTTCCGCATGAATCTCCTCAAGCCACAGCAAAGTTGAAAACTTCTCCTTGTAGTTTGACATGTTCAAACGCTGAAGAAGGAAAAACATTAGCGACTTAGTGAGAGCAGAGGGACACATCAAACATACCACGTCTAGGAGGTAGGCAGCTCTGGAGTTAGGAAGTCCAAACTGCTTAAATTCAACAGATACACCCCCAAGTAAGGTGATTCAAGGTCAGAGGTTACGTTTCCCAGGCCCTCAGCATGTGGAGAACCATGGGGTTCTCACTGGAAGGTTCCACCCCCTATGGACCAGCCTGCTGTCTGCCATCACTGGCTGCTGGGCCCTTGGCCACTTATGCCATCCACTTTTTTGGGGGGGTATCTTCTGGGTTTATCACGTGAAGGGCAGTTTGGCTTCTACAGACACCTGTGAAAAAGGCTTCCACTTCTGGCCAAGATGGAATAACAAGGACCAGGCTTACCCTACCACCAGAAATAATTAAAAAAAAAAAAAAAGACACAGAAATATGAAACAATGGTTTTCAAACAATGACCACCAGGCAGCACAGGAAGGTAATCCTGACATTAGGGAAAATCCCAGGGAGCCCATGACGCCCCAGGGGCAACCTAGACAGAGTCTCTAGGTCACAGTGCAAAAGAGAACCCAGGGGAGCTGTAAGACCTCTCTGAGTTGAGGAGATGCAGCTGGGGGTCCAAGGGGGCCGAGTGCTGAGGAGGAAAGAGCAGCACAGACAGAGGGGTCTAGAGAGTCAAAGAATCTACGTTGAGCCTTCAGTGAAGTGCTGACTGGGCACGCACATGAGAGATAATGTCCTGTGGGAGACTCACTGGGAGGTCAGACCAGGGTCTTCCCCTTAGCAGGATGGACGCTCAGGGCTGGGTCATTCTCTGTGGTAGGCGCCATCCTGTGCATCCTGCATCCTATGGTGCTGAGCAGCATCCCTGGTATCTACCCACTAGATACTAGCAGCAACCCTCCCCCACTGAGAACCACTAGATTAGAGGGAAAAACCCTCAGAGCACATGCAGGGCTGAGGATGACGTGGGATCCCACCAGCCCAAGTGGAAAGGCTTGTAATAAAGGGGGCATTGGGTCCAGTATTCGGAAGGATATTAGTGCTAAATTAAAAGTTACTCTGGTCCCAAATAGCAAAGCTTAAAAGCCAGGCTTAAAAGTATCCAACTGTTTCCAAGTAACTTAACTGTGTCCCAGAACAAAGCTCAAAAACATTTTTAGGAAAAGAAAAATATCCAACACCCAACACAGAAAAATTCAGAATGTTTGGTATCAAAACAACGCTTACTACGCATGGGAAGACACAGAAAACCGCAACCCATAATGAGAAAAGTCTATCAACAGAAACAACCAGGAACGACACAGGTAACAACTAGTAGACAATGATATGAAAACAGTTGTTATAATTGCATTATCCATAGCCGAACAGTTAGAGGAAATATTGGGCATTTTAAGCACAGACATCAATGATATGAAAAAGACCCAAATGGAACTTGCACCGATGACAACTACAACATCTGACCAAAAAAAATACAATGAATAGATTACACATGCAAAAAAACACCAGTGAACTTGAAGACTTAGCAAATACAAACTATCCAAAATTCAACACAGAAGAAAATGGACTGGAAAATAAAAAGCAGTGCATCACTGAGCTGTGGGACATCTCCAGTGGCCATTAGCATATGAGACTGGAATCTGCAGGGGGTCAGGGGCAGAAAGTGTGCCAGAAGGCTAAAAATGTCAACTCCAAGGAAAACCATAAGCCCAATCCAAGAATCTCAATGAACCCAAGCACAGAAATGTGAAAAAAAACCAAACCATATCACAGCACACTGTAAATTAAATTTCTTAAAACTAGTGATAAAGAGAAAATCTTAAAAGCAGCTAGAGGGCTGGCCTGTGGCTCACTCGAGAGAGTGTGGTGCTGATAACACCAAGGCCATGAGTTCGGATCCCATACAGGGATGGCTGGTTAGCTCACTGGGTGAAAATGGTGCTGACAACACCAAATCAAGGGTTAAGATCCCCTTACTGGTCATCTTTTTATTTTATTTTATTTTACTTTATTTTGTGACTGGTAAGGGGATTGTAACCCTTGGGTTGGTGTCGCCTGCACCGCGCTCAGCCAGTGAGCACACCGGCCATCCCTATATAGGATCCGAACCCACGGCCCTGGC